ACTCCTGTAGCCAGCCCCTAAGAAGGCGTGGCTACAGCTTCCCCTACACTTATCTTCCTGGAGAATGCCTGGAGCATCCTATCTTCCTGGTCTTTACATGGCATCTCCCTCTTGGTCTCTCTGCCTACCTTTCCCAGAATTCTCCTCGTCCCCCCCCTCTCAACCTGCCTCTATTGGTCAAACAGTGTTTCTTTTATCGGTTGATGAATAAACCGATAAAAGAAACACATATACAGAAAGACCTCCCCATCACCTTGTTGATATATAGTTCCAGCAGGTGATGAAGAGGAAGGATAGGGCATGGACAGGGGCGTGATTCTAAGAGCTACAGCTTTAGCGGCATTATTTAATGATCCAATAACCTGCTCTGTTTCAGGTGTTAGGTGTTTTTATAGAATTTAAGGGAGAGTCTCCAGAAAGCAACTAAATGAGCAGAGTCACATCCTCAATAGTGATAGGTAAATAAGAGTATGCCGAGGAACCTTGAATCCTAGCACTTGGGAGGCAGAGGCAGGAGGATCTCTGAGTCTGAGCCCAGCCTGGTCCACTGAGTAAGTTCCAGGACAGCTAAGACTATTCAGAGAAACCCTGTCTGGGGTGGGGGGTGGGGGAGGGTCAGGTACCCAATTGATCTGACCCAAAATTTCAAATTTTGCTCTTTTAGTTTCCTTACCATGAGGATTAAGCATTCATTTAAGTATTGATTAGATGACGAGAGGATAATGCCATCGATATACTGAAATACCTCGGGAAATATAATCAGCACCAGCTCAGGGGCTTTATGTCATAGTTGTGATTGGTTGTGATTATCCCTGTACTAGAATTTTGGCCTGTTTTGATTTTTCCCCATGTGAAGTGTTCAATCTATATTGAGTTATTCCTGCTTTGAGGGATAGATATAGATATAGATATAGATATAGATATAGATATAGATATAGATGCTCTAGGGCAGTTCCTAGCTCATGCTCCAGCAGCTTAGTCTGGCCACCATTCCTTGGAACTCAGGTGTAGCATTCAGCTGACCCCAGGCACCTGAAATGGCCATGGTGACATTTGCAGTCAGAGGGCTCTGAACTCCACTCCAGAAGCTTCAGAGTCTGCTCCACCCACCCTGCCAAGACCTGCCGATATTTCAACAGAAGTCTCTCTCTCTCTCTCTCTCTCTCTCTCTCTCTCTCTCTCTCTCTCTCTCTCTCTCCTTTTTAACTT